TTATTTTTTTTGCGATTTTTTTCGCCATATATAAGTTTTGACCAATTTATTTGTAATTACTAGAGGAAGTTCCAAAATATTCCAATTCGAAAAATTTTGACAAAATTCAAGAGGTTAGAATTTCTTAATGTTTTATTATCATTTTTTTTTTATTCCTTGCCCATATGACAATAGTATGGTCATGCCCAATGTATAATGTGTACAACAACTCGCCACCAACTACTATACACATCGGCAGCACCATGGTGTCATTCTATTAAATTTCATTGTGCTTTTCTTTTTTTGGGGATTTTTTTTCGTCATATATAAATTTTGACCTACTTATTTGTAATTACAGGCGAAAGTTCCAATCTATTCCAATTTAAAAATTTTCGACAAAGTTCAAGAGGTTAGAATTTCTTAATGTTTTATTATATATTTTTTATTCATTTCCTATAAGACAACAGTATGGTGATGCCCAACGTGTGTAGTGCACAACAACACGCCACCAACTACTACACACAATGGCAGCACTATGGTATCATTCTATTAAATTTTACTATTTTGTTTTTCTTCTTTGCGTTTCTTTTGTCATATATAAATTTTGACTAACTTATTTGTAATTATAGGAGTAAATTCCAAGTTATTTCAATTCAAAAAATTCCGACGAATCTCGGATCAAAGCTTTTGATGCGCTCAATATTGGTGGTTTAAGTGGACATGATAGAAATATTTCCGAAAATATTCTAGTAGATATTCCATAGTTGTAATCTTTTTTTTTTTGAATAAAACTAAATCTGAATTTTGATTATCATGTAAGTGACAATAATTTTCTTGTTTGCAATGAGTCAACAACCTATTGTCATATACAAAAGATATGATATTACTCCTTCTTTTTTAAGGGGAAAACAAACGTAGCACCCTAGTGCTGCTTTGATTGAATCTACCCAGCAGTTGGTTGCCAACCAACATCCACTTAAGTCAGTATGTTATTGCTATCTGCAGTAGATATGAAAATACTTAAATTTTTTTTAGGAGAAAAAAAAAGCGTAGCACCATTGTGCTGCCTTTATTGAATCTACCCAACAGTTGATTGGCGACCAATATCCACAAAAGGCAGCAAGCTATTGCCATCTACAAAAATATGAAATTACTCCATTTGTTTTTTAAATAAAAAAAGCGTAGCACCATGGTGCTGTCTTGATTGAATCTACTCAGCAGTTGGTTGCCGACCAACATCCACTTAAGTCAGCAACCTATTGCCATCTACAAAAGATATGGAAATACTTCATATTTTTTTAAGAAAAAAAAAACATAGCACCATAGTGCTGTCTTGATTAAAAGTACCCAACAGTTGATTGCCAACCAATATCCACTTAAGTCAGCAACTTATTGCTATCTACAAAAGATATGAAATTACTCCAATTTTTTTAAGGAAAAAATAAAGCGTAGCACCATAGTGCTGCCCTGATTGAATATACCCGATAGTTGGTTGTCAACCAATATCCACTTAAGTCAGCAACCTATTGCTATCTACAAAAGATATGAAATTACAAGATTTTCTAAGAAAAAAAAAAAAGCGTAGCACCATCGTGCTGCCCTGATGGAATATATCCAGCAGTTCGTTGCCGCCCAATATCCATTTGAGTCCGCAACCTATTGCTATCTACAAAAGATATGAAATTACATAAA